AATTTAAATTTTTATGGGGAGTCCAGACCCCCCGCATCGGCGTCATATTTCTTGCAGTGGCCTTTTTTGGGAGGCCACTACGGCTGATGATGGCCATGCTAGCGTCGTAATGCATTCACGATGTGTACATTCTGAGCAATACGGGCGGGAAGAGACTTTTGATATAAATGTGTTGACTGGGCCTTTCACTGATGACTCGTTGTTTCGCGCTAGTCACTATTACCATACCGTAGCGTGTGCCGTGTGTTCGGATGACTGCTCGTCGTTTAAGGATACTCTTATGCTTGAAATAGAAAGGACAGCGAGGCGACATGCTTAATATCTGTGCGATTTTAATATGCTGGCAGGCTCGAGAGGTAATACTGATGTTGTCGTCGAAGTGTTAGGGTTCTGACTAGGATTATCTACTTTTTATTGCGGCATTGCAGGGATGCGAATCTCAAAAATACATAGTTTATCTGCGAATGACATGAAAACGCTCAGGCGAAAATAACGTAAGGGTGTTTAGTAATATCGCGTTAAGGTGTGTATCATCGGAAAAATGCGCGGGGTGATGTGGTATTGGTTTAAGGTTAATTGGGGTTAGAGGAAGGCGATAGAAGAGGAAAACCACCACGAAGGAAGAAAAAAGAAGAGAAAAGGCGGCGCTGGAAGAGGAGTGAGTGGGGAAGATGTTAGGTAATATATTTATATATATATGTAACTGTGTGTGGTGTGGTGTGTGGTGATGTGTGGTGTTGTGTCTGTGTGTGTGTATGTGGTTTGTGTCGTGATCGTGACGTGCGTGCGTGTAGTGTGTGGTGTGATGTGTGGTGTGTTGTTCGTTTGTGTGCGTGTGTGCCTGTGTGTGTGTTATATAAAGATAAAACGATGAGGAAGGCAGGAGATATTTATACTATATATATATATGAATAGAATGAGGTAATCAATTAGATTTGATCGGCTAATAATACTTCATTGTACGGAGAGTCTCGAGCAACTTCGCATTGCTCGTTCGTATTTTCTGATAATTATTTTACCTATTTATAATATCAACTATCTATTATTATATATAGTTAGAGAGAGGATGAGAGAGAGAGAGAGAGAGAGAGAGAGAGAGAGCTTGATTAGCACGGACTTCGAGAGAGAGAGGAGAGAAGAGACTGAGAGAATTTTCTTGTGGAGAGAGAGAGAGATGGATGATGAGAGAGGAGAGAAGAGGAGAGAAGCAGCGAGGCGAGAGGGAGAGATGAGAAACGTAAGAGGAGAAGGGAGAGCAGTTGAAGAATACTTTTTTTTTACTTAGCTTATATTCGAAGTTTGCGTCCCAACCAACAGTTTGCGGATGTTAAGAGTCTCTTGCTTACCCGCGCGTTCACTGGTGATATAAGGAATGATTTCTGGATTATTACTCAGGCTACAAATATGAACGGGAATCATAAGCTGAATATGGCCACCTAAGTTTCACGACCGCTTTTACATTTCTCAGTATGTGTTCAGTTTGTTATTGCATGTTAGACTTTGATCCCGTTAGCTTTAGGGGAGCCTGAGCGCTGCCGATAAAGTGTTTGGTCAGAGACGATACAACGTGTACATGCTCAAATACACACGCTCGCGCGTTGCAAATAATATACGTTAATATGTATTTAACACAACACCCACCACACCACACACACACACCACAACTTTAAATGAAACACACACACACCACACCACAATTTAACAACACAAACTACCCCCACCGTCAACTATATATACTATATATATAATATTATGATAATATATAATATTAATGTTAAGTAGGATAATGAGTAGAATAGTTCTTATGATGATATATTTGTTAGTAGTTTATTCGGTCTATATTATATTACTATATTTATATTATATATTTTGGTATATATAGGTAATATATATTATTTATATAAGGAGAGGGTTGGTTTTAAAATACTATATAAATATAGAAAAATAGAATGAGGTATGCGAGACTATGCTTTGAGAGCTCTCGATAGCTTGCTAATTCAAATTTGACACCTCATTCTATTTTCATATATATATATAGTAACTATAAGCGGTTTACGCGTGATTTCCCTTTGAAATGTGGTATCCGATTAGTAATAACCTAAATTGAACGCATATTAAACCGGCGTTTAAACACGCGTAGCGTTTAAAACGGCAAATACCGCAGTCTATTGACGTCTATCAATATCGCCATAATTATACACTATACATTTCTTTTATTATCTTTATTGCGTGTTACGTTTTATCTGTATTATCTGTAAAAAGCTGTATTAAAAAATGCGATTTTCCCAATTCATGATGATGTATATTGTCTGGCTTGTCATGGCTCAAATTAGGCTAGGTACATAGGTTTGGATTTCGGAGTCTACCCATCAACCCACTTATCATCGTCCTGTTACTACCAATTAAAGCTCTAAACGGTGTATTTTAGCAGCCATTTTTCACAAATACATTGCACCATTTTATTGTTATTTCAATTTGCCATTTGTTATATCAGCAGATCCGTCAACCAAATTAAAGTAAGTAGTAATAAAAGGACCAATGACGATTCAACTGTATAGTGACATAAAACTTGAGGCCTAAGACCAGGAGTCCGTAAATCATATAGGCCTAGTATTACGAGCTTTTGATATATATGTTAAAATTCACTGGACGCACTTTAAGTAGAGAAAGATATAACTTTCCGTGTTCCAGTGAAGGTTTGCGAGGCGTGAGAGGCAAATATCACGAGCACTAGTTTTTCTTGCTGAGCTCACTCATTGCTATACCGATCAAAGTCCTCGCCTAAGTATACATTAGTCATCGATGTGCCTCGTAACAACTACATCTAGGAGTCACCACGTGGAATGCGCTGGAAGATGCAAATACGTGGAATAATAGGTAAGTAGCATATATAAATACATATACATATACATATACATATACATATACATATACATATACATATACATATGTATATACTGTACATATACATATAAGATATAACATATAACACTATACCGTTGTTATCTATCGGCTAGTAACCTGCAGACACTTTCTCGCCGTTGGTCGGTTCTAGTGTCGCGCGTGCATGGGGCACAATTTTAACGTGGCGAGCATAGCAAGAGTGTCCCGTCTACGCCTCACGTCTCTACCGGGCGACGTCTCACGTCTCTACCAAGCGACGTCTCACGTCTCTACCAGGCGACGTCACATGTATCTACCGGGCGACGTCTCACGTCTCTACCGGGCGACGTCTCATGTCTTAACATTAGCTCCGTGCTCCGAACATTGTATGTGTTTTATTGAATTGTTCAATGAATGACGCACTCGTTCACTTCCGACAGCGAGTGAAAATGCAGAAAATGTTCTTGTTCGATGCGAAATGCATCGGCCGGGCATTTCAATTTCATTATTTACGAAAAGCAAATAGTATCGCGAAACACCTACACGCAGTAACGGGTCACGTCGTTGACGCCCCATTCAGTGTCCATCAATGAAGAAGGCGGGGCTTATTGTCATTACGGAGATGCCAAAATGCAACATAAGGACGTAGCGCAGTGCGCTAAACAGCGTGTTATTTTAGTTTTTGTGCCAAACTCTATCGTAGGAAACCGTTCTAGCATAGCAGAATGCCCTAGTTCCTGAGATCGGCGATTTGGTACTGTGATGGGTCCCCACCTATAAAAATTTCAAAGGTAGGTGCGGCGTAGGCTGTGATTGGAGGACACAAAGTGTCAATCCTCGGCTCGCCTCGGCATCATGGCCGCATCACGTCCAGAGGTGAAAATTCTACGATCCGCAGTTTTCATTATCATATACTATTATGCTCCCACGGTCATTTCGGTGACCAGTGTAATTTTATGAACAAAAATTGAGTGTGAAGGTGAAGAAAGAAATCTAACGTAGACTTGACAGAAAAATATTTCGGACAATTTCTCAATTCTGATGAAACATTTTTCAGCCTTAGCTTCAAAAAGAAACAGACAGACAGACAGACAGACAGACAAACAGACAGTTAGACATATACAGAGAGTGAGAGAGGGGGGCAGAAGAGAGAGGGTGATGCGAGAACTGGAGAAGGAATTCAAACGAGAGTGGGGGCATGAGTGCAAGGAAGACGAATAGGTATACTGTAATGGGGAGGAGGGGATCTGGAAGTTCCAGATCAAGAGTAAGAAGGAGAAGAAGAAGAAGATGATGATGATGATGATGATGATGATGATGACGAAGAAGATGCTGCTACTGCTGCTGCTGCTGCTGCTGCTGCTGCTGATGATGATGACGATGATGCGCATAGTACCATGCGCAGCTCGTAGTATGGTATTCGACTCGAAGGGGACGTTGATCCCCTGTTAACCCGGCGGCGTCTCTACGGGGCGGTTACACGATAATAACCCGGCCACCAACGTGACGTGGAAGCAAAGCGCTTTCCCTGCTATGGACTAGTGATTCTCCATCATATGAATAAGGAATAGCTATAAGGAAGTATATTTCTACCCGTGATCGTAATAGTAGTTACGCGTGAGTGCGTGTAGTGCACCCTTTGCTAGCGTCTATTTAAATGCAGGTTATAAAGAACATAACGACTATGATGTAGTACCTATCCAGTTATCTATTTAATTGTACAGCATTAACTATGCATCCGCCCATAGCGGGGCGAACGCGTGCAGTGGATGTGCGCGAGTAACATCACCAACTTACGAGGTTATTGATGTATCGTAGCTGGCTCGAACCAATCTCGTCTATTATGTATGTTTCTGTTAAACTCTCTCTCCGATAGATCTCTCTCTCTAGCCGAACACGTGGTTATATTGACGTGTCACGTTCCTACGACACGATTGTCCGTTCTCAACTGCATCCCCTCCGTCCGCAAAGCAACAAGGTCATATGCCTGGCTAGCAAAGATCGAAGCAAGTTCGCAAGTTAACAAGAAGTTAAGAACACACAGTCAGATTATGCTAGCAGGACATTTTCGAATAATAACCGAATATACTGTTACTGTTACTTGAGTTTATTGTTGCTTGAGTTACTTGTTTATAGTTAATTGAGCCAACTACTATGTTCAAGATTATTTATTACACAACGAACGTTCTTTTACAACGGTAAGGATATGGATCAATGGTGCACGATTTTTTCGTCGACTTTTGTGTTTTTTCAGTATTTACAATAAAATATGAAAAACGAACATAATGACATATAAACATGCAACGATTAATAATAGTGCTGTTTAATTTGAGCCATGTAATATTATTATAACTGAGATTAATAAACATATCTGTGTATATATTTTCTAACGGTACTATGAAATCATTTACATGTTTCATATTTGACTGGTTTTACTTGACTAATGTCATTGCTAGAAAGAACATCTTTGGCAATAGTAGCAAATACCGTATATAATATATTTAAGTAAGATATAATTAGTAGTATATAATTTTATATGGACTCTGATAGTAGCAACATTTCTAATCAAAACTACGCGCACCTTGAATTTAATGAAACGATATATTTTTATATTATAATTACTATATTATTAATTATATTATTGTTATGGCGACCTCTAATATATAACTAAACGCCATTTAAACTGTTAGCAGCAAAGCGGCTTTTACGTTTTGGCACAATTATATGGTCAATATATCCTATAGCTAGACACAAATTGAAACGCGATTACTGTATACGCGGTACGGTATGTATGTACGTGTTAAAATCTTTCTGATAGAACTACGAAACCAAATATTCTTTTAAACGGCTTGTATACGTTGGTTCGTTTAGGGCGTAAGAAAAAACACAATATCGTTACAACATTTTAATGACTAAAATATTCTGATTTAGCGAGAAAATATCTCGTGATACATGTATCGACATAATTGTGGAAGTGCAATACAAATGACGGTCGCCATCTTTAGATGGTGTTGAACGTGCACAATATAACAGACCCATGATCATGAGTCAGATCCTCGTTGGGTTGCGTGTCTCGGCTGCAGTCATGCCGTGTGAGCTAATAAATTGTACAAATACAAAAAAAAACATTTACTCAAAGTACACTGCAAAGACGACGAGGGAGGCGAACATACTACTGTTGGTATACACAGTAGTGGCCGACTTATCCGTCTTCGGATCGCAGAGACTTCTACTCACAACGCGTACATCCTCGTCTCTGTTCTGCCCAATGTTGACCCAGCAAATGATCTTGTATCGGCTATAGACAAGTTGCTTCACGCGTCTCTTGGCTTCATCAGAAACTGCCATCGCGAGTTGTGCGCTGGCTCTCGGCTCGTACTCCCGCCCCTCCAGATAACAGCGCAGTACCTCCATCGATAACCTCTCCATGCGAGCAACATTAAACTCCTCGTCGCCACTCGGACACAGTCGGTAGGTGTTCTCGTAGAGCGACTGTTGTTGCGGCGGGTTAGCGGACGCTGTGGCGACGCCGTAGCGATGACTGCTACCGAATACGCTCGGCTTGCGGCCGTAGAACACCGACGCTCGCCGCGAGGGCGCCAGACCGGTGAAGGTGGAGAACTTTCTCTCTTCCGCGCGCGAGACGCGCCTATCGGACGAGCCAGCTCCGCCGACGTGCAGGCTGCTTGTCGACGGCTTTCTCTCGGCCGTGCGGGACGTTCTGTGCTCCTGCTCGGGCGCACCGCGCGACGGCCGACGCTGCTGCGTGCCAACGACGAGCCCGAACTCGTCTGCTGCCGATTGGCGCGATTCGCTCCTGCTAAGCCGCCGCTCAGCCGGATGCGCATGGCCGCCGGCGAACAGTGTTTCGCGGCGGAAGTGCTGCCGCGTGGACGGCTCGGCATCCGGTGCCGCCTCGATGACGATAGAAGGCAGACGCTGCTGCAGTTGCTGCTGCGGCGGCGGTCTGCGCTGCAGGCTGACCAGCTCGTCGCACGGCGCGAGACCTTTCACCGATGGCAGATGATAGAGGGCAGCAGTAAACCCGTCTGTTTCTTCGGTGGCGTCTTTGCTGGCTGGCTCCGAAGCGGCACCTCTCGTGCTATTCACCGTCGGCATTTTGATGATTGACGTCATTTGCGTCGTAGGATTGCCGGCCTCAGTGACGTTGGCTCTCTCGATGCCGATGAGAGATGGTACACGATGGAACGCTTTGGGATTCTGTCCCTTTATTCTACGTGCGCTGCAATACGTTCGTGCTCTGTGAGAAAAATAATGAGAAAAATATCTAATGAATATCTAAAGAATGAAATATGTCCGTACGATCGTGTGAACCTGTATTACATGACACGTATTAGCATATTGGCTTTTCAGAAGACACACACACACACACACACACACACACACACACGTGTAGACAAGAAACAGGAGAAGAAAATAAACTGAAAATAATAGCTACTAAAGGAAAATACACGGGCAATCTTGCCAGTATCCACGTGGCTTACCTAGCGGAACTCTATAGGAATCACCTAGCGGTTCTCATACTATATAGATATATCAGTGTATTAGCGACACAGCACACCCGCAACGGCGAGTGGCGGGAGCGGCTAGTTTTTGGGAAAGCAAGTCGATATATGTCAAATACTCTAATAGAAGTGTAATAAACGGGTAGATTTTGTGAATGTGTTCATATTATTATCAGGTTTTAATGACTCTGTCCCAAGAGCCTGTGTGCGCGAGTGCATGCGCAGCTCGTCGTATGGTATTCGACTCGAAGGGGACGTTGATCCCCTGTTAACCCGGCGGCGTCTCTACGGGGCGGTTACACGATAATAACCCGGCCACCAACGTGACGTGGAAGCAAAGCGCTTTCCCTGCCATGGACTAGTGATTCTCCATGAACAAGGAATAGTTGACTCGTGAGGGGGAGGATTTCAGGAGGCTAAAACCAAGTGTGCGTGCATGCACGCGCGTAAAGTGGTCGTTGCTACCGGCTGCAATCGTCCGGGTCTTTTTTGCTAGACCTGTGACGGTATAGGCATAGGGGGTAGCGAACAGTTCAAATATATTTGTTAACAGAATGACACCCGGTTATCGTCGTCGGCGTTTATTATCAATCATCTACACTATATTTATATTTATTAATAATATGCAGTTTAATAGCGACTGTAATATTCAAGGCACTTTATAAATTTGTGGGTGTATTTTATAAAAACCCATCAATGAATCTAGAATTATTAGATAGCCTTAAATCTGACTGAGACTTAAATCTCATGATAAATTTCATGGACATTCACGTGTTCGTGATTGTGACATTTACTTGTATACTGGCAAGACAGGACGTTGTAGAATTGGACATATATACTGACATTTCATTATATGATCACTTACTGTTACTAACGCTGGAAGTCCAATGACCATTGTAGGATTGGGATTGACTCATGTATAGTTTAATGGATACCACTAACTGCACTTAGTACTTTCATACAACGTCTACCAGTGAGAGAACATTTCCAAGGTCGACCTTCCTGATCAATGGGGAGAAAGGAAACGGCGTGCACGGGCTTTCACTGATGGTTATGTCGCCACCCGTATAGTAACTAAACGTAATACGCTGTTGCAAAAAGCATACGCTCGTTTGATTAAATCCAGAAGTGAAAATTCTACGATCCGTAGTTTTCATATACTATTATGTTCTCACAGTCATTTCTGTGACTAGTGTAATTTTATGAACAAAAATTGAGTGTGAAGGTGAAGAAAGAAATCTAACGTATATATAGACTTGACAGAAAAATATTTCGGACAATTTCTCAATTCTGATGAAACATTTTTCAACCTTAGCTTCAAAAGGAAACAGACAGACAGACAGACAGACAGACAGACAGACAAACAGACATACAGACGGATGGACGGACGGACGGACAGACGGGTAGACAGATAGACAGACAAACAGACAGACAGACAGCTAGACATATACAGAGAGTGAGAGAGAGGGGCAGAAAAGAGGGTGATGCGAGAACTGGAGAAGGAATTCAAACGAGAGGGGGGCATGAGTGCAAAGACGAAGAATAGGTATACTGTAATGGGGAGGAGGGGATCTGGAAGATCAGGAGTAAGAGGGAGAAGAAGAAGATGATGATGATGATGATGATGATGATGATGATGATGATGACAAAGAAGAAGATGCTGCTGCTGCTTCTGCTGCTGCTGCTGATGATGATGATGATGACAAAGATGCTGCTGCTGCTGCTGCTGTTGCTGCTGCTGATGATGATGATGATGGCGGGGAGTAAGGGGAAGGAGGAGGAGCAGTACGAAAAGACACGCGAACAGAAATCACTGAGAGGCAACGGTACATCAAGCGTATATATATACGGTTGAGTTAGCATCAGACCGGTAGGGGTATTCTCCGAGAGCCATGTGTTCAACTGTGTAATGAACTGTATTGGCCTAAACTGTTACATGGAATGAAGGTACCAATTAGATCCTCCCTAGATAGTGCCCTCATGTCCACCAGAACGAATCCACAATACCACTAAGTAATGCAGACAAACAGTTTGATAATACGATGTGTGGCAGGACATGTTGGTTGATGCGAGGAATACGGGCTACCATTATAAACCTGTAGGCTGTATAATATTCTGCTATCTCTTCCCTGCTCATAACAACTATAATAGTCCTATAGCATAGGAACATCTGTATAGACCAATTCTGCCTGTGCTATCGACCTATCTCCACAGACCGAGCTGATCTGCTTCCACTGCCACCTTCGTATGCTACCATATACATTAGCTCTGCAAATATAAGCGTTCCCCGGGCCTGTGGCGGTGCTAAGTGTTGTGCAGGTAGATTGAGCCAGATTGAGGCCCTAAGCGAGAGCGTCATCTGTCGTGGAGTTTGATACGCGTCATGGCAACGGTTTGCTACGCGAGAGCATGGCGAGATCGATCATTGAGCTGGCGGGCTCAGCCGTACATACACACACACACACACACACACGCCACTAGGAACGCATACGCGGCCGCTGAGCAGGTACCATGGTCAGCGCACTTGACGTGTCACGGTTGATGTTCACGGGCTAGCGCATATCATGTCTCATATATCGTATCATATCAATAGTAACTATTGGACTCCATCTTCCACGTGTCGCGGTATGCCGTCACGAGTGCGTGTCGCGCGTACAGGTAAAAATGCCAGTATCGCATGGTTTGCATGCAGTTAGGCGGTAGCTGGTAGTATGCAGGAGCAGCAACACCAACAGTGTGAAGATAGAATGTGAAGGTGGGTGAGTGTCGTACCTACGTTGCTAGGGCAAATGATATAATAATGTAACTTGCTTTATATTATGATTATGAGTCTATACAGTATAGAAGTGTTTTATGTTGACTGCACGCACATGCGCAGTTTAACGGTTAGCAGCAAGCAAATGCGTGATATTGTTCGATACAAGCACACGCACGCACGCACGCAGGCACGTGTACGTGCACACGCACGCAAACACTCATGCACGCACGTGTACGTGCACACGCACGCACGCACGTACGCAGGCACGCACGTGTACGTGCTCACGCACGCACGCACGTCTACGTGCACATGCACATGCATGCACGTGTACCTGCACACACACGCACGTACGTACCCACGCCCACATGCACACACGTGTACCTGCCCACACACGCACGTACGTACGCACGCACACATGCACACACGTGTACCTGCACACGCACGCACGCACGCACGCACGCACGCACGCACGCACGAACGTGTACCTGCACACGCGCCCGCACGCACGCACGCACGCATGCACGCATGTGTAAGTTCACACGCACGCACGCACGCACGCACGCACGTGTACGTACACACGCACGCACGCACGCACACACTCATGCACAACACGCAAGCACGCACGCATGCACGCACGCACGCACGCACGGACGTCTACGTGCACATGCACACGCGCGCACACACGCACGCGCGCACGCACGCACGTAGACGTGCACACGCACGCAGGCACGCATGCACGCACGTGTACGTGCACACGCACGCATGCACGCACGTGTAGGTACACACGCACGCACGCACGCACGCATGCACGCACGTGTACGTGCACACGCACGCATGCACGCACGTGTAGGTACACACGCACGCACGCACGCACGCAAGTGTACGTGCACATGCACGCACGCACGCATGTACGCACGTATAAGTGCACACGCACGCACGCACGCACGAACGCACGTGTCCGTACACACGCACGCACGCACGCACGCACGTGTACTTGCACACGCACGCACGCACGCGCGCACATGTACGTGCACACGCACACATGCACGCACGTGTACCCACGCACGTATACGTGCACACGCACACACGCACGCACACACGCACGCACACACGCCCGCATGCATGCGCGCAGGTGTACGTGCACACGCACGCACGCACGTCTACGTGCACATGCATGCACACACGCACGTGTACAGGTCTGTACACACACGCACGTACGCACCAACGCACTCATGCACACACATGTACCTGCACACGCACGCACGCACACACACACGCATGCACGCATGCCCGCACGTGTACGTGCACACGCAAAAAATTCCTAGAGTTATACAGGGGTAGGATAATATATTATCTAATCTATATTTGAGTTCGTATGTATGTATGTATGTATGTATGTATGTATGTATGTATGTATGTATGTATGTATCTCCTCTCTTCTCTCCTCTCTCTTTGCGTTTCGTCTGTCCTGCTGTCTGTCCTGTCTGTCTGTCTGTCTGTCTGTCTGTCTGTCTGTCTGTCCATGTCGTCTGTCTGTCTGTCTCTGTCTGTCTGTCTGTCCGTCTGTCTGTCTGTACTGTCTGTCTGTCCTGTCTGCTGTCTGTCTGTCTGTCTGTCCTGTATGTCTGTCTGTCTGTCTGTCTGTATGTCCTGTACTGTCTGTCTGTCTGTCTGTCTGTCTGTTCTGTCGTCTGTCTGCCTGTCTGTCTGTCTGTCTGTCTGTCTGTCTGATCTGTCTGTCTGTCTGTCTGTATGTCGTCTGTCTGTCTGTCTGTCTGTCTGTCTGTCTGTCTGTCTGTCTGTCTGTCTGTCTGTCTGTCTGTCTGTCCTGTCTGTCTGTCTGCTGTCCTGTCTGTCTGCTGTCTTCCTGTCTGTCTGTCTGTCTGTCTGATCTGTCTGTCTGTCTGTCTGTACCTGTCTGTCTTCTGTCTGTCTGTCTGTCTGTCGGTCATGTCCTGTCTCGTCCCCTCCTGGCCCGCCCCCCGCCCGCCCGCGCTTCTCGCTGCCCTTTCCGCGGGCGCTTCGCTCTCACCGGGCGTGTTCCTCGCCAGCCCCCCCTCTGCCACCCCGTGCCCCCCCCCGCCCCCTCCGTGCCCCCTCCGTGCCTTCGTGCCCCTTCCGCCACCTGGTCCGCCCTCCTGTCCAGTGGGCTGCCCCCCCCAGACCCCTGCTGCAGTCTTTCTTTGCCCTCCCCGTCCCTCCGCTGGCTGGTACTGTGCCCCCGCCCCCCTCCTCCCCCGCGCCGCACCGCCGGCCCGCCGTTGACGCGGCTACTCCTCCTGTGCGTTGCGCCGGTTCCGTTGCGCCGCTCCGCTTCCGCCTCCTTGTCCCCTTCGCCCGCTCTGCCTTATTCTGCTTCCTTCAGCCCTTCTTTCCTGTTCCCCTGTGCCTGGTTGCGCGCCCCGCCTCACTCGCCCCTCTCGCCTGCCCCCAGCCCCCCCCTCGCCGCTGGCCTGTCCCTCTCTCCCTGCTCCTCTCTCTTTTGCGTTCGTCTGTATGTCTGTCTGTCTGTCTGTCTGTCTGATACTGTCTGCTTCGTCTGGTCTGTCTGTCTGTCTGTTCTGTCTGTTACCTGCTGTCTGATATGTCTTCTGTCGTCTGTCTTCTGTCTGTCTTCTGTCTGTTCATGTCTGTCTGTCTGTCATGTATGTCTGTATGTCTGTCTGTCTGTCTGTCTGTCCTGTCATGTCGTCTGCTCTGTCTGTCTGTCTGTCTGTCTGTCTTCTCTTCCCTCATCGGCGGCCCCACCGCCCCCGCGCTCTGGCTGCCCTTTTTCCACGGCCCTCTGTTCTCCCCGGGGCGTGTTCCTCGCTGACCCCCCTGTCCCCCCGCGTGCCCCTCCGCCGCCCCCTGCCGTGCCCCCCAGTTCCTTCGCCTTCTCCCCCACCTTCCGCCTCAAATGCCCCGTCTGGCCCCCGCCCGCCCACCTCTGCCTCTTTCTTGCCCTCCCCTGCCTCTCTCCTCCGCTGCTTCTCTTGTGCCCCGCCCCGCGCCCTCCCTCCTCCCCCCGCCTCCCCCGGCCCCAGTTCCGCGGTTCCTCCTCCCTCTGCGTTTCCGCGTTTTCCGTTCCGCTGCTCCGCTCTCCGCCTGCCTTGTCCCCTTCCCCCGCTCTGGCCTTTTCATGCTCCCCTCCACCCCTTTCTTCCTTTCCCTCGTGCCATGGTTGCGCGCGCCGCCCTCCCTCGCCCCTCTCCCGTGGCACCCGCCCCCCCCTCGCTGCCGTCTCTCTCTCTCCTACTCTCGGCACTTTCCTTTTATTCGTGTACCGCTCTCTCCCCCTGTACTCGCTGCCCGGGGGCGCTCCCGCGTTCGCTCCGCCCGGCCTCTCTTCCCTCTTTCCCCCCGCGCCTCCCACCGCCCCTTGTTTCTCCAGGCGGCTTTGCCCTGCCCCGTCCCCGCCCCCGTTCGTACCTGCTGTTCTACTCCATACGCTTTTGGTTACTTTCCCCCTCTTCCTACTTCTGTCGGACCGGGGTTCTACGTTGGGTTGTGCTGTCCTCTCCACTGGCCTCCCGTCCCAGTTTTTCCGCCCTGCTTCTTCATCTTCTCGCCTGCTTCTCCACTCTGGCTCTTGTGTCCCTGTTCGTTGTCGTCTTTTTCCCCCCCCTTTCATCTTGTGTCCGCATTCTTCGTCGTCTGCCTTCGTACGCCGCGCTTCCCCCGTCGCCGGGCGGTACCCGCCAGCTCGTCACTCTCTCTGGGCCTTTCCTTCTTCCTCGTCCGCTCTGACCCCTGGCTCGCTGTACGTGGTGCGCTCCACGCGTTGGCGACCGCCACGGCCTCTCTCGCCTCTTGCCCGCCCCGCCCTCTCCCCCGCCACCCCCTTGTTTCTCCCGCGGCCTATTGCCCTGACACAGTCCCCCTCCTCGTACCCTGCTGTCTCTCACTTTTGGTCTCTATTATTGCATTTCCAGCCCATCTTGCCCTTCATGCCCGCCGGGGTTTCTCCGTTTTGGTTGTGGCTGTCCTCATCCATGTCATCCGTCCCCGTTTTTTTCCCGCCTGGCTTCTTCTCTTCGTTCGACATGCTTGGTCCCTCTTGGCTATTGTGTGGGCCATGTTCATTGTCGCTTTTCCCCCTGTTCCTCTTGTGTCCCATTACTTCGTCGTACCTGCCTTCGTCGCCCGCTTTTCCCGCCAGGCGCCGCCGGTTTCCCCGCCGCTACGTCTTCTCTCTTCTCTCGTCTCTGTTCTCTTCTCTGTCTTCTCTACTCTTCTCTCTCTCTCTCCCTCCATCTCTCTCTCCCCCTCTATCTCTCTTTCTCTTTGTCCTTTCTTCCCTCCTGCTCTCTCTCACCCATTCCCCCTCCACCCTCTCTCTCCCACCCCCTCCTCCTCTCCATTTTTCTTTTCCCCCCCCCGCCCCTCTCCAGCATTCACCTTGGCGCTCCCTGCTCCTCTGTTGACCTCTTTTCTGTCCCCTCCTGTCCCTTTATTCCCTTGTCTTTGCACTTGTTCTTCTTGTTTCTTGTTATTCGAACTTCGCCCTCGCACCTTCAGGTGGGTGCGCCCGTGTCGCTGACTATCTTTGTCGCACTTGAGCTCCGCACAGTCACCCCCAGCATCCACGCAGCCTTCATGTCCCACTTCCGCCGTCTTGCTCTGCACCCCTGCCTTTATCCGCCGCCCACCACGCCCCCCCTGCGCCATGTCGCCACTGCGCCCTTGTTCGAGCCCCTTCTAACAGTCCGGTTAGGTGTTTTCTTCCTCCTCCATGCACTACGTTTGTGGCCTTTTCGCCTTTCGCTTGTGCCCTCTTCCTGTTTTTGTTGGGCCGGGCAGTTGTGCACGCGGCCCGTGCATCGGGTGCTGTTGGCATTTTGGGCCTGTGTGGCCCTGGTTTACACTTGCCTCGTCCCACGTCCCCTCTCCAGTCTTCCTCCCACCCCCCGCCCCTATTCTGTGGCAAACACGCAGCACAGACTGCCCCAGCATCTGCTGCGGTTTTGTCGTTGCTACCCGGCCCAGCCCGTCTCCCATCATTGGCTGATGCCCCTTACGACCGTCGTGCATTTCGCCCCGGGAACGACCCGTGCGCTTCTACCCTCACCCATCACCGCGAAACTTGCACAGCCAGCGCCGGCCGGCCCTCCTCACGCGCACAGTCGCCCGTGCACCCTACTGTGACTCGACTCTTCTTTAGTCCTACATGCGTCTTACATATGGACAGAGGGGCCAGGCACCAACTATGTGTACAGGTTTTCACGTCCATTAAAGCCAAAATTATTAACCTTTCCGAAACAAACAATGGTTTATTCACTAACTCTCAAACGTGTTGTGCTTTGCGGGCACGGAACAACAATGCACGCTGCTCATCAAAAAGGAAAATCCTGTGTGTGTGTATCTGGTTGGTCTGGTGCTAAATGTGGCTATACCACACGTGGTGAATAATCAAGGGTGCCATTGGCATTATAAAATGAAAATACGCAAGTCGCCTCGACGCATTTCCCATGCAATCAACGTCAATCACGAGGTGGACACGTCTGAAGTCCGTTTTCACGAACTTTCCGATGTCGTCGATGTGTTTATAATTTGCGAATCTAACTACACAGCATTTGGAAATGCCGAAGAACCTAACATTTCTTTCACTGCTGCAAAGGGCTTTCTTAAGGAGTTTCAGCACAAAATTGCATACATATTCCTTGACCATTTCCCTCGGGAGAAAAAGGAAGATGGTTGGG